GGTGGAGCCGGAGCGACAGAGGACTGAGGTGGAGCCGAGGGGATGAAGGAGCCTGACAGAGCCGGAGGGACGGAGGGATGAGGCGAAGCCAGAGGAGTGGAGTCCCAGGATGGTTGACGCCAGACCAAGGCGGAGCCGGAGGGACGAGGGAGCCTGGCAGAGTTTGTGGACTGCCGGGCCACGACGGAGAGGAGGGAGTTAGGAGCCATGGTGGAGCCGACGGGTCAACGGGCCGAGACTCCAGCCACAGCGACACTGGAGGATGGCAGTCCCGCGGGGCTCGCACCGCAATGGTGGGCTGAGGGCGAGCAGAGGGGCTGCCAGACGACAGCGGTGGAGGAGGCTGGAGCGGGTGGGAGGCCGGGCATTTTCGAGGAGCGGCCACAGGAGGGTGCTTTCTAGGAACAGGCACTAGAGGGCGCTTTCTAGGAGCGGGCACTGGAGGGCGCTCCTCTCCGCGCTCACACCGTCCGTGGCTTTCTCCCTCGTGGCAGGCGTTGTTGCCGGCTCACACACCTTGACTGACGTCACGGCCTCTGGCTCCACGGCGATCCTCAGCTCTGTCGCTCTCTCTAGTGATGGCTCGTCGGTCGCGGCGGGCTCTGGCTCTCCGTCAGCACTATTTTAAAAGAGACATTACAAATAACCCATGTCATTTACAGACCTCAATTTAAAACTCTTTGATTTCTTTGTGGTTTTTCTCTTAAATGGCTTTGACATTTTGAGGAGGCACAAAATATTTGACAAATGGAAACACTATTAATGAGGATTTGATGTGGTTTGCCTGTAGACAGACACTCCATTTAAAAGAGTCTTGCTCTTCACTTATCAGAATCCCTGAGATTACAACAGGACTTCACACACGGGGTGACCCAAAGTTCAATAAAAGATTTGTTATGGCTTGTCATTTTGAAAAGAAAATACTTTACTAAAACAAAAAAATATCAAAACTGAATTTGTGCTTATCATTCAGGACAATGTCCTTTTATAACCTATAATCTGAAGAACACTTATTGTAAACCTTTATGTTGTTCAGTTTACAGTACCGTTAAAAAGTTTGGAGTCAGTAGGATTTTTCATAATTTTGAAAGAAGTCATATCCTCACCAAATTTCTGTATTTGATCAAAAATACAGTAAAACAGTGATATTTTGAAATTATATTTACAATTTAAATAACTGTTTTCTATTTTAATATATTTTAAAATGTTTTTTTTTTATTCCCGAGATGGCAACGCTGAATTTTCAGCATCGTTACTCCAGTCTTCAGTGTTTCATGATCCTTCAGAAATCATTCTAATATGCTGATTGTTACAGTGACTACTGTGTAGGAGCGAAGGAGCACGGAGATCAAGGAGAGTCACGAATAACAGTCTTTAATGATCCAAACAGGGGGTAACACAGGGCAGGCAGGAACACACACGTAGCATCAACGTTAACACCGGACAAAGGAAACATGGGACAGACAACACTTTAAATACAGGGCTAAACGAGGGGTAGTAGACGAGACACACCTGAACCAAATCATACAATCACACATGGGAGACAGAAACTGGGTCACGGAGAGCCCATGGGGAACAAAACACACTGACAGTCCAGGGATGTGACACTGATTTGCTGCTCAACAAACATTTCTTATTATTATGAATGTTAAAACAGTTCTGCTGCTGAAAGGTGCCATACTTGGGATGGAAACAGGGGACGGCAAAGGGCTGGCAGGAAGGTAGGCAGACAATCCTAATGGAGGGTCGGGCTGAGGACCGATAACCAGGAGAGGGCCGGCAGACAGAGTCCAGGGTGTTGACGACAGAGGGAGGAGACAGGAGGAGCCAGGGTGGACCCAATGGAGGGAGGAGACAGGAGGAACCAGGGTGGACCAGACGGAGGGAGGAGCCAGGGAGGAGACAGGAGGGACTTGGAGCAGGCGGGATGATACAGTCTTTAATAATCCACATGGAAGAAGGAACACACACGTAGGAACCGGGAATTGACGTTTAGACTCGACAAAGAAACATGGGGCAGACTACACTTTAAATACAAAACTTAACGAGGGAGTAAATGAGACACACCTGAATCACCTGGAAACAATGAACATAATCAAACATTGGAGAAACTGGGTCATGGGGAGCACATGACGGAGGGACGAGGCACAGCCGGAGGAGTGGAGTCCCGAGGCAGCGGATGGTCGACGACTGACCAAGGTGGAGCTGGAGGGACGAGGGAGCCCGGCGGAGCTGGTGGACTGACGGGCCACACAGTTTCTCGCCAGTATCCATTCCACAAAGGCGGCAAAATTCTCCCGAGGGCCATCTTCGGACGACGGCACTCTGCACGCAGTGTTTAGGCTGGCATCGTTGAATGCGCAGAGCGCGTCGTCCGGGTAGCTGATGTGATGAGCAATATCCAAGAACAGTGTGGTGTGGCCCTCGAGAGATCTCTCCCCCTGCTCCAGCAGGAGGAGGAGGTACTCAGGATGGAGGAAGGCGTCTAAGGGATCCATAGGGAACAACAGAAAACAAAACACTGAACAAAACGCGGAAAACAAACGGAGGGGAAACATGCAAATAAACTATTTTGTCGGTCCGGTGTTCTGTCACGGTGACTACTGTGTAGGAGCGAAGGAGCGCGGAGATGAAGGAGAGTCACTAATAACAGTCTTTAATGATCCAAAAAGGGGGTAACACACAGGGCAGGCAGGAACACACACGTAGCATCGATGTTAACACTGGACAAAGGAAACACGGGACAGACAACACTTTAAATACAGGGCTAAACGAGGGGTAGTAGACGAGACACACCTGAACCAAATCATACAATCACACATGGGAGACAGAAACTGGGTCACGGAGAGCCCATGGGGAACAAAACACACTGACAGTCCAGGGATGTGACACTGATTTGCTGCTCAACAAACATTTCTTATTATTATGAATGTTAAAACAGTTCTGCTGCTGAAAGGTGCCATAGAATGCATTGATACAATATTTTAAATTGTTCTCTGATATCTACATAGAAGGTATGTGGCTTAGTTAAGGGCAAAAAATCTCCAGAAACGGTTTTACATGTCCATTTACAACCCTAGGATTTGTCCCTAGAATGAAATGGTCTGTTTTCACCTTATTTGGAAGGGTCATGAATAATAATATTGAGCTCTGCTTTGATTGGCTTTTGTTTTCCGTGCCTTTCTGAATACAGACACCAATCCATCCCTGCACATGACATCCGCTGCACATGCATCCCGTTATGGAACATAACATTTATTTCCATGATCTGCCATTTTTGCTATTATCCTAGCTTATTTCTTCACAATACCTGCAGAACTTCTGATGATTCGGCTGTGCAGGTTCGGCTGGCGGCTGGCATAGACCATGGGCGGGGATATGCAAATATTGGGGGCGTAACTATTAGTGATCCCGACTGTAACGTCACAGTCTGTGTTATGTTCTGATTCGCCTATTTTTCAGTGGTCTTTTGCATGCACGAGATTTACATAAGAAGGAGGAAACAATGGTGTTTGAGGCTCACGGTATGTCATTTCCATGTACAGAACTGTTATTATTCAACTATGCCAAGGTAAATACAGTTTTCCATTCTATGGCACCTTTAATATTTTTGTGGAAACCATGATATATTTTTTTCAGCATTCTTTGAACAAGAACAGCCTGTATTTGAAATAGAAATATTGTGTATAAATATGAAAGTCTTTACTGTCGTGTTTCATCAATTTAATGCATCCTTGATGTATAAAAGTACCAATTTATAAAAAAAAATTTTTAAATCTTCCTAACCCAAAACTCTTAAAGGGTGGTGTACATAAAAATGTATTACATGTCTTACTTCACTGAAAAGTGAATTAATTTAAAATAAGCCATTCTCATGAACACAACCCAGTCTTGAAGAAACACATTTTGCCAACAATCCATTCATTTTCCACTTACCTTAGTAGGCATGGGCTTTAGGTAAGTGACTTCCACCTCTGTCCAAACATCTTTAGACCTCTCAGACACAGTCCAAATTTTCTCCTGAGCTATGTTTTTTTCATCATAGACATAGAGAGCCAGAGCATTATCTATTTTCATGAAGCCATGCAGGGCATAGTAGAACCTGAGGCAGTATTTATGGTTCCCTGGTAGGGACGGTCCAAAAAGACGACCCACATACCCTGGACGAGAGGTATAACGAGTGTTGGCCAGGAGAAAAGACCCTGTGAATGTAAAGACACAGATGTGACAGATTTATAAATCTTAAATAATCAGTGAAAGAAATGATTGTTTTATGAATGTTATCTTATTTGTAAAAAAATTTTCCTTTAGTTTTCCTCTTTTTATCATATGAAAGGAATAGTTCAACCAAAAATTAAAAGTTGCTGAAAATTTACTCATCCTCACGCCATCAAAGATGTAGATAAGTTTGTTTCTTCATCAAAACAGATTTGGAGAAATTTAGCATTGCGTCACTTGCTCACCAATGGATCCTCTGCAGTGAATGGGTGCCATCAGAATGAGAGTCCAAACAGCTGATAAAAACATCACAATAATCCACAAGTAATTCACACGACTCCAGTCCATCAACTAATGTCTTGTGAAGTGAAAAGCTGTGTGTTTGTAATAAACAAATCATTCAGGAGATTTAACTTTAAACCGTCACTTCTGGTCAAAATCCAACCAGTCCATGATCCATATTAATGCTTCCTCCAGTGAAATTGTGGATTCTTGTGATGTTTTTATCAGCTGTTTGGACTCTCATTCTGACGGCACCCATTCACACCAGGGGATCCATTGGTGAGCAAGTGATGTAATGCTAAATTTCTCCAAATCTGTTCTGAGGAAGAAACAAACTCACCTACATCTTGAATAAAATGAGTATATCTTGATTTTTGGGTGAGCTATTACTTTAATAGTTATTCACTATGAATACTGATCAATTAAAATTAAATATACATTAAGCAGGAAGTAGTAGGAATCTCACTCATTAAAACAGCTCCATAATTTGGAACTTTAATGAGTTAAATGCACATAAAAATATCATATATTTATGTGATGTAAATTTATGATGTTTAGATAAATTAGACTCTGTTTTTATAAATAGAGTCTAAAAGTATGATCAAAACATTACTTCATCAAGCTTGTACAATATATATTTTGTGTCAGATTGCACAAATTTGGTGAACTGATGAAAAGAACAGTCTCACTTCGCACCAGTGCCTGTAGTGTGATCACTGATGCGGTAAACATTTGGTTTCACAGAGACCCTGTTCCACACTGAACCTCCGGTCTGTTCCTGATAATACTGACACAGGCCCTCCTCAAAGTCACAGTTTGCCACAGAGGGATCAAACGCTGGCTCTGAAACATGAGTCACATGAAATTAACTCACATCATGAATATCTCCCACATAGGCAGACTTTCTGTAAAATGTATGTTAACTGCTGACTAAAGGGAATGTTGATGTGGTTGCTACATAACAGGACAACAACAAGAAAATTCCCCTTTAAACAGCACTTATGGGCTTTTTTGGGGTTGTTGTGTATAACGCCGAAGGTCCCTCTTAGAAAAATTACTTATTTTTGTCCCAAAGTATATTTTTGTCCACCCCTAAACAATGGATTGGATTGGAGCGTCAATGGATTGTAAACAGATCGCACAAAAACGTAGAAATGAGATTGTACAAATTAATATGAATTAGTGACAAATTTGCTAAAACATAAAATAGATACAAATTGCCATTGTGTTGCAAATTACCTCAAATCAGGATTTTGCAGCCTATAGAAAAAAAACACGTTTAAGATAGTGCTGTGGTGGTTTTTGTTGTCATTTGATGCTATGAGAGAAAATAAGAGGAGGAGGCTTTATCCCAATTGTACTCTAATTAATTGAACAGTACAGACATTTTGGTTCTTCACAGCTAAATAAGCATGGTAGAAAATGACTCAAGCAAGAAAAACAGAAGTACAGAATACAGCGTGCTTCCAGCATCCCATTATAAAAAGACATCTCTACAAAAGAGTTAACATGTTCACCAAGTTACAGTGACTGTTGAAATGAAACCATAAAACTTGCTAGTGGTTTTTGAGCTCTGTAAACAGCTGTATTGTGATGTTTTGGATAATGCAGTTGCATAAGGCGTGTTAGTGCTTATTATACAACAGAACTGCACTGACCTGTCTCTGTGTGGCAAAACTCTGGGGAGAAAGAAATGTCATCCAGAGCAACATAGCCACCACGAGGACTGTTGAACGCCACCTCAAACACCACCTAGCACACCAAACACACCAATTAATCTAAAATAGAGAACTGAAGTGCCCAACATGAGGGGAACAATAGTGCACAAATGATTCATTCATATTGAAAACTGAAAAGTTTCAAATGGATGTAGTTTGTAACTCAGCATAAAAGCAATACAAAAACACTATAAGGTTCAAAGGCATTAGTAACACTTCAGACAGAGAACTCATCAGCTGGAGGGAATCTCCAGACTCCACACACACACTCCTTCTCTCATTATTTACATTGTCTCCCAGAGTTGGCTGCTCACACTCAAACATGGCAGCCACAGCACTAGCTCTTCACTTTATGTTTGTTTATACTATTCCTACAGATGCAAAATAAACACTCTTTTCTCAGCAGAACATAGATTACGTTATGTATGGTCGAAAATATATCACTCTTTGAACTACATTTGGAAATTAACAAAAATATCACTTACAATTCTTACAGTTAATAATCAGAGCAGTTTTGATCAAATGTATAAGGTCAGTTTTCAATAGGACTATCCATACTTGATTTGGTTACAACAAATGACTACAGTTTTCTCTACTCGTTGAGGATTTTGCTAATTTGGACAAAACATGGCCTAATACGTCATTTCTCATTAACACAATAAATATAATACTTAATGTATTTAATATACACATATAGTATAATTTTACACACACACACACACACACACACATAGGAGGGGGGAAGGTTCTCAAAAGTGGTTCTCAAAGTATTGCAAGGTACATACATTGTTGACCACAGACATGAGAACCAATGAGGATTGTATGAAGTTTCTTTTTTTCAGATGGTTTTGTGTGTGTGTGTGTGTGTGTGTGTGTGTGTGTGTGCGCCAGATTCATGCGAGATTTTGAGCAAATAAAAATTTAGTTCTGATCATGATTTGATTCTGTTCTGATCTCGACTCAGTATTGATTCATTTGGTTATATATCAGTACTTAAAAAAATCTCTCAATTAAAGCTGTAAACTACAGGGAACCCTGTCAGCTGGCACATTACTAGAATGCAAAAGCTTAAAATTAACAACAGATTCCAAACTATTACATTGCTATTTATTTTTTGATATAATGAGTTGTATACAATCATTTAAATTGCACATAAGGCACACAAGTTTTTATATTTAATGATATAATTATGTTTCTACTCCAATTCTTTGTTGAAATTTAAACATTTAAACATTCAAAAATACATTAAATAAGACATCACTAAAAGGTTAAATAAAATGAATATGTAATATAATGCACATATGTTGCAAAACGTTCATCTCTAGTTATTTTTTTCTAGTTAATTAACGTGTTTATGGACATTAAATGGCTTTCCTGAGGTAAATGTAACCTTATGTGACGTTGTTTACAAGCTTTTATATTTATGACTCTTTTGCGTTTGAAACACTGATTGAGCATTTACAACCAATATGATACATTTGATTAAGTTTTACTGTTTCTTTCAAAATACCTCCTGATGTTTATTCATGTTTATTTTGTGCTGTAACTAGTAGTGAAGAAGAATTGTTATAGCGATCTGTCATGCCACATTAAAGAGTCAAAGCAACATTGTTGTTTGAATTTAGTGATAAAATTGACCGAATTTGAAACCCTAGACTTTGTTTCTTATCAAAAGTAACAAAGCACAAAGCTTGTTGAGATTATTGGATGAGCGGCACGCAACAAATGCTGAGATCAATAATACATACATTGTACCCCAAGTATAAAAGAGAGGACTTACCTAGACAGTATCCAGGGATGATGTGTATTTCAAAAAGTGCAACGCTATTTCCCATTGCTCTGCTGGGTTTAGCCTCAAATAATAGCTGAATGTCAAGAGGTAATAAACAAAGAGAAGTTAAACTGTTTGGGCTGTAACATAGTTAAATATGCACGAACTGCCATCTGTTCAGCTGACAGAAACATTTATTTTAATATCTAAAGCCTAGAAAACTACCTATATAACTCATGCTCACTCTCTTTCAGTGACTCTCTAAATCAAACACAGCTTCAGTTTTACACACAGTCTACTTTTAGAGTAAATATAATATCAGAAGGTTTACATCATACACCTCAAGTCAAAACTAGCATAATGGATTTACTTTCTTTCCTATCATAATTCACAACATTTGTTATTAAACAAAGTCAATCTCTATTCCTTTGTTTGCAAAGGCCAATTATTACTCTCAGTCTGACTTTCCAAATGTAATTCCCAGAAACACAGCATTACTATAAGTGTAGTAAAATAGCACAATTGCTTGTCTGATCAAGGGAGAGGCATATCCACTGTAGTGTTTATAAAGGGCTCTTTTAAGCTAACAGTCATCTAGCAAACTATGAATAGTCTTGACTACATTATATCACATACACAACCCCCTTGTTTTCCCACTTTGCATTTAAACACAGAAGTGACTGTGCCATGTCAGGCAGATACCTGGTAAGCCCCGGTCATATTACGGAGGTCCACGCTGGCAATGAGCCAACTGTCTGAGGGTTTCTCCGCAGTCCATAACGTGTAGTCAAAGTTCTCACCCTCGGGTCGTAAGTGCAGTTGAAGAGAGCCTGAGCCTGAGATCTGATAGACCAACCGCACACAGCTCCAGTCTCTGAGCTCCAGCTCCGGGCTGACCAGGACATACTTTTTGTTCTCACCAAAATATGAGGAATCTGCTGTAATGAAGCGGCCTGAAAGAATCAGAAGAGGCATAATTTCAATACTGGTGAGAACATTTGTGCAGAAATACAAATGCATTATGTCATAAGTTTAAGAACAGCACAAAAACACTTAAAATAAATGTATGGTTTATGATTGTTTAAACATTCAGTTCTGTTATTTTCATTGTAAATGGTCGACTGTTTCACCATTTTAAACTGTGTCAAAAAACAGGTGTGATCTGTGTCAGGTTCTCCAAAATGAAGGGCAATGCAATCACAGCAAACAAAGACTCATGGGAGACTCAAGTGTTAATTTAACAGTCCATTTAATCTTCTGACTTTACCAGAGTGACTGTTTAGAGCACAGAAATAGGTTAGGTTCACATTTAAACAGTTTATTAAAGAAGAAATATCAGCTGTCAGACATAAAGTAATCATATATGTTGTGAACGTATCCAATTTCCTCTTGTTTAATATGCATCAAACCTCGACATGATGTAAGAGTGTGCTTGCTGCCTTTAGCTTCACTGATCTCTGATAGCTCCAGATGTTCTCATGATGATTCATTCCAGGTGCCAGATGAAAATGATCCCTTTTTTCTTCTCTCTTCATGACCTCTTGTAAAAACACACTCATTTTCTACACTTTGGTTTGGCCCTCTTTTGAGATCTCATATATTTAGTCCATGAGCGAATACCAGTCGTTAATATCCCACCTCTCTGGCCACAACATCAGCTTCTGAGGTAGGTGAAGTCGCGTCTTTGGTAAGGTCTATTGACTTTAGTCCCCATTTTGTGGAATGATTCACAATTACCACAAAGCAGAGTGTTAACAACACCCACCCTCATTGTATTAGCATAGTCACAAGTTCAACATACAGTTAAACATTCAAAACTAGCATAGGGCAACATACTTCACAACCACAATATAACTAAAGGGAGGAAGAGCTGACGTCAATGACCTACATGGATTATAACACACCGTAAAAAGGTTCCAGGAAACTCAGCATGTTTCTGTAACTACAGTAGCAAAGCCTTTTAAAGTTAATTCATTAACAATATGGTCTCAAATGTGCAAAACTTTGTTTCCAGTTAAATAGATGAGTAGTTTAAAATATTCGTTCCGACACACAGCAGCCTGAGTTTGTATCCCGATTCGTGGTCCCTTCCGATCCCTTTCTCTCTCCCATTTTGCTTCATGTCCACTCTCCAACAGCCCTGTCTAAGTAAGGCCAAAAGGTAAAAAAATAAATCTAAATTTATAAAAAATAAAAATAAAATAAAAATTAGTATGCTTTGGGATTACCCTAGAATTTCTGGGGGAAAAAACAAAGTTTGGGCACATTATATAGGTTATATTCCATAATATGAAATTATTACAGATCAATAAACAAGCAATGTAGTGATAGCATTTTAGTGGTAATAATAAGGGGTAATTATTCTGCACTAAATGTCTTTTTCAACATGAGAAAGGCATTTAGCGCAGAAATGAATCAAGAATAAAGTGCAGTTCTCACTATACTCTCACAACTCACTGCAGCAGCTGTTATTCAGTGAGTGTGAAGGAGATCTGGCTGGAAGTAGCCTATTTACTTCTGAGGCTTCATAGGAAGGGTTAAATGTTGAGGTGAACTCTGTGAATTTCTGCTGTACATCTCCAAAGGTCTAAAATGATTTCTACAGCTGTCTGAAAATGGCTGGAGAAACAAGGTCACCAGATCTCCGCTCTTTCTCATCATTTCTCACCTCTTTATCTCAACTCCTTCTGTACATGTTTTCTTACATAATTTTTGGCTGCATGTACATGTAATAAATAAATACAGTGAATAAATGTATTATGAATTATAAACAATGTTATAATCATATAGAGAGTGGGCACATTTGATAAACAGTAACATACATGTTTGCCAAATGTATGAATTCATTCATTAAACATTTAGTAAAGTGCTTCCTTTTTCCTTGAACTAAGACGTCTGCCTCTGCTGTGTTTCCACTACAAAATCTATGTTGTCCAGGAAACCAAACAGAAACACAAATGTGTTGCCCAGTCTGGTTTTATTGACCTGCGGGGGAAAAACTCACTTCACAAGCAAAAGGTTGAGACAGCTGTCAACCAGCCAACTGCCCGACGTATGTTCATTGGATAATACTTCCTTCATCATACTTCGCTTAACAGTCATTCAAAAGCATCTCCTCTGTTTTCCCCACAGCAACTGAACCCATCCAGTGGTTCACCAACCATCATAGTTTTTGGCAAAGGACAGAAACAAAAGTTAAGCAATGATAACAAAACCTATTTTTAGAACAGAGCACAGACAGTTACAGAAAGTGCTCACTGTGCTGAATGCAATATTAATGTAAATTCAAAAGACAAGAAATATACAAGACAAAAATTACTAGCATGAAAGCCGTCAGCAGTTACAGAGCGCATGATCTTTGAAACATCTCTGGCCAGTGTGCATTCATACAGGCCAATTAATAATCTATGACAACCCTTAGCAGTTGTGTCTTGTCAGAATAAGACCAACAGAGATCGGATAAAGTCCTGTTATGTAAAGCTGGCTTACTCAATGAAGTGCAGATGTGCAACCATTAAGCCTTAAACACTTAAGAAAGTAGGGCAGCAATTTTATATGCCCTGCATATAAAATTATGCATTTAAATACATTCACAGGTGCTCAATATCAAGGTTGTATGCTATTCAGAATTGAATTGAGAATGTCTTAAATGTCTTTAAAGATGTAATGATAAATAGTTAAATATTATTATGCATCGTGGCCGCTTGTTTGTGAACCGGGGAGAGAGTGCTCAGAGTCGTGTATCTCGGTAGGTTGTGTAACTTTCTTAGTTTTGCACCTAGTTTACATCTTACTCCCCTTTTATATATATGATGTAGATTACTTAGTTCGCTAGTTTAATTATTTTAGGGAGTTTTCAAAACTATTCTATTCAGGAGCACTAGCTCTATGATGCCAACTTGTCGATGTCCAACCCGGAAGTCCCGGCAGTGGTATTTCATACATAATACTGACACCTATTGCGACAATGTGTATTAAGTTTCATGTGAATCAAAACAGCCATCTAGGAGGAGTTAGAAAAAACATTGGGTTTTTAAGAAAATTCAAAATAGCAAAATCAGAGGGATTCTTATAGGACTTAAATTTTAAAAAATGACACAAAATGTATTCACCCTCATGTCGATGTTTTTCCAGACCCATAAGACTTTGGTTTTAGTTATTTTTAATGAGACCTGACATGTTTCTGCTCTTCCAATGAAATTCTGCTTCATATGATGTACAGATGAAATATAGGCTTTTATTTATTGTTAAACAATGATCGACACAACTACATAGAGCACATCACATTTAGTAAACACAAAATTAAAGGGATAGTTCACCCAAAAAATAAAGGCCTTCTGAAGTGAAGCAATGCGTTTTTGTAAGAAAAATATCCATATTTAAAACTTTATAAAACTGTAATCTCTAGCTTCTGCTAACTGTCGTACACGCATTCACGAGAGACTGGCGTCCATCGGCTGACGTTTCTTTTCAAATCCTCATTTTGTACTTCTAATTCGTGACCAGTGTTTTGTTTTGCTCTCTCCTCTGCGCTTCTGCATTCGTCACTTCTCACTGGAGCTTACGCTTTGCCTACGTCCTACGTCATCTGCTGGAACGCGAAGCAAGAGATTACGGTTTATAAAATTTTAAATACATATTTTTCTTACACAAACACATTGCTTCACTTCAGAAGGTCTTTTTTAACCCCCTGGAGTCATGTGGAGTACTTTTTATGATAGATGGATGCACTTCATTGGACTTCTATTGGACTATTGAATCTCAACCACCATTCACTGTCATTTTAAACCTTGGAAGAGCCAGGACATTTTTCAATATAACTCAGATTGGATTCATCTCAAAGAAGAAAGTGATGGCTTGAGGGTGAGTAAATCATGGGGCAATTTTCATTTTTGGGTAAACTATCCCTTTAAATCTCTTCATCATATAAAGCGATCCAACTGTATCTCTTCATATGTCTTGGATTATACAGCTCGATTTATAGGGTTTTCTATTATGGCACTTTTATTACCTATTTGGATCTTCTAAATTTTGGTTACCAGAACTTTTAGGGACAGAAATGCCTCAGGTTTCTTTAAAATATCTCAATTGTGTTTCGAAGATTAACCAAACTCTTATGGGCTTGGAACGACATGAGGGTAAGTAAATGATGACAGAACCAAAAATTCAGGGTAAACTATCTCTTTAAGGATTCAGAAGGAAAAATAATTTTGCCTCTAGCCCTTATGGTTCGTTAGTTATGAACTAAAACGCAAATGTAGACTATTATAGCGCCACCTAGTGTATAGGGGGTGCATGTGTAGTGCGGGGAATATATTTTGGAACCGTGCCACCAATTAACTCAATTGGTGGCACGGTTCCAAAATATATTCCCCGCACTACACATGCACCCCCTATACACTAGGTGGCGCTATAATAGTCTACATTTGCGTTTTAGTTCATAACTAACGAACCATAAGGGCTAGAGGCAAAATTATTTTTCCTTCTGAATCCTTAAAGAGATAGTTTACCCTGAATTTTTGGTTCTGTCATCATTTACTTACCCTCATGTCGTTCCAAGCCCATAAGAGTTTGGTTAATCTTCGAAACACAATTGAGATATTTTAAAGAAACCTGAGGCATTTCTGTCCCTAAAAGTTCTGGTAACCAAAATTTAGAAGATCCAAATAGGTAATAAAAGTGCCATAATAGAAAACCCTATAAATCGAGCTGTATAATCCAAGACATATGAAGAGATACAGTTGGATCGCTTTATATGATGAAGAGATTTAAAGGGATAGTTTACCCAAAAATGAAAATTGCCCCATGATTTACTCACCCTCAAGCCATCACTTTCTTCTTTGAGATGAATCCAATCTGAGTTATATTGAAAAATGTCCTGGCTCTTCCAAGGTTTAAAATGACAGTGAATGGTGGTTGAGATTCAATAGTCCAATAGAAGTCCAATGAAGTGCATCCATCTATCATAAAAAGTACTCCACATGACTCCAGGGGGTTAAAAAAGACCTTCTGAAGTGAAGCAATGTGTTTGTGTAAGAAAAATATGTATTTAAAATTTTATAAACCGTAATCTCTTGCTTCGCGTTCCAGCAGATGACGTAGGACGTAGGCAAAGCGTAAGCTCCAGTGAGAAGTGACGAATGCAGAAGCGCAGAGGAGAGAGCAAAACAAAACACTGGTCACGAATTAGAAGTACAAAATGAGGATTTGAAAAGAAAATGTCAGAGGATTTCGGTATAAGCCAAAAGGAGACTGGTTTTCCTTTGCTGTAAACCAAACTTGGTTCTCGCAAGCCTAGCATATTCTCACCGGAGCTTATGCTACTCCTACATCCAATGTCATCCGCTAGAATGCCATTCTCTCGTGAATGTGCGTATGACAGTTAGCGGAAGCTAGAGATTACGGTTTATAAAGTTTTATATATGGATATTTCTCACAAAAATTCTTTGAGCCATGTGGAATACTTTTTATAATGGATTTATGCTCTTTTATTAGACTTCAAAATCTTAAGCCCCATTCACTGCCATTATAAAGCTTGGAAGAGCCAGGACATTTTTTAATATAACTCTCCATATACACCTAGGGGTAATTTGCATTTTTGGGTGAACTATCCCTTTAAATCTTTATAACTATTCTACATAAGAAATAAAAATTTCTCGTTCGCCATCTTGTATTTCTTCTTTCATCAAGCCTCGTGGCAGTGCATTTGAGGGTGAGTAAATCATGGGGCAATTTTCATTTTTGGGTAAACTATCCCTTTAAATCTCTTCATCATATAAAGCGATCCAACTGTATCTCTTCATATGTCTTGGATTATACAGCTCGATTTATAGGGTTTTCTATTATGGCACTTTTATTACCTATTTGGATCTTCTAAATTTTGGTTACCAGAACTTTTAGGGACAGAAATGCCTCAGGTTTCTTTAAAATATCTCAATTGTGTTTCGAAGATTAACCAAACTCTTATGGGCTTGGAACGACATGAGGGTAAGTAAATGATGACAGAACCAAAAATTCAGGGTAAACTATCTCTTTAAGGATTCAGAAGGAAAAATAATTTTGCCTCTAGCCCTTATGGTTCGTTAGTTATGAACTAAAACGCAAATGTAGACTATTATAGCGCCACCTAGTGTATAGGGGGTGCATGTGTAGTGCGGGGAATATATTTTGGAACCGTGCCACCAATTAACTCAATTGGTGGCACGGTTCCAAAATATACAATAAAATAGACTACAACTGACGCTCTCTGACAACCAGACACTTTTAGGGCAGAAAAAGAATAACTAGCAAAACAGTACTACAAATAAAGGTGCCTGAAGCCCTAAATAATAAGAACGTTTCTCATACCTTCCGCGTTGATGGTCCAGGCAGCAAAAGTGGGATCAGACGTGTATCCGCAGCTGTCTGTCTCAAAACTGCAAGAGCCCCGCAAAAGCTGCGTCTGAGCCCGCGCTAGAAGTGCGACTGCTGAGGATGACATAACGCCAGAAAAACACTACACCTTAGCGAGACTAAGAATTAGGGATGCACCGATACCGATACTGGTATCGGTATCGGGCCCGATACTGGTCTCCTGTACTCATACTCGTACTCGTTAAAATGCCCCGATACCAAACGCCGATACCACACAGCATGTGATAAGCGCCGTATTCAAACAAAGAAACACCAACAACAGAACAACAGACAGCAGAATGGAGTTAAGGATGTCTACTACGAAGTATATGTATGCAATGAATATAACGTTAAACATTCAGTATTAACGCAAACACTACACCTTAGCGAGACTAAGAATATTTAAGTACTCTGTTAGTGGGCATAAATGTGGGGAAAAGTCCATTCAGCAACGAATAAGTCTACGTTGATGCAAGGATGCAATAAATTAAACTTGCACAAATGCAAAGAAGCATGCAAACGAACTAAACAAAATGGAAAAAGTGATGACCTACCCAGAAGGCTTGAGAAGTGAAGCACACTCATGGCTGAAGTTGCAGGGATGCTGAAGTGGAAGAGTGAAGTTTCTCTAACGCAAATTGCGTACGGCAGCTCTGCGACCGCTGACTCTGGCAGTGCTGAACAGACAGTGGGAGGAGGGAGTGGTTGTTGGGGTTTCTATTTCAGAACAGGCAATGGATCTCCCTTAGGTAAGGAGTTTGCTGCTGTGTAAACGTCTGCAGAAATGACATACTTCTTGCTCATCGCAGACAGAAGACTTAATTATCACAGCTTTGATGGCATTAAATCTCTCAAATAGTAGAGATCATTGATTAAATTATGTTTAACAACAGAGTGACTTCTTAATTGTATGTTTAATAACTGCAGGTTTACTTAGTAAATGTTAGTGACATTAGGCATGGTGGTAACTGGTAAATTAATGGAAGAGTTAGTTTTTCTTATGTCAGTTTTAAAAACAACTTCAATGAATAATGCTCAGTTTTTTTCAAATATGTTAGTGAATGTTTATTGCTTAAACAGTGTTTAATTTTACAGCATGTATGTACATTTCAATTGTTATAAATGATCTGTCACTACTAGGGGAGCGCGGGGCACAAAGTAACGCGGGGTAAGTTGTAACACACGTAGCTAGCATAACCAAATTTTCAGCATTTACTAGTTACCATATCAACATTATATAGAGAAAAAAAGTGCACCAAAATTCAAAAGTTTTTTGAAGATATCGCTGAACATTTATTTTACCATGTTTAACTATCAAATCGGACGTTTACGAAGCGTTTGTGAATCCGGAGAAGAGTTTTCGAGAAGGTCCGTTTTACGCGCAAATTACTCAGAATTTACTCCTATATTTACGAATGTTTCATGAATAAGGCCCATTGTTTGGTTCCTGACATCTTGGCAAATTTAAAAGTGCTGGCAAATGAAAAAACGTAAATTCAATAAGATTGTTATTCACGTCGGCACTAATGATGTTAGACTTCGCCAGTCAGAGATCACTAAAAATAACATTAAAGAGGTGTGTGAACTTGCAAGTATGATGTCAGACACTGTAATATGCTCTGGTCCCCTCCCTGCTTCTAAGTGGTGCCCGCAGAATAACATAGGTTTCATAGATAATTGGATGAGTTTTTGGGGCAGACCTGACCTGTTGAAAAGAGATGGTCTTCATCCCTCCTGGGGTGGTGCCGCTCTTCTGTCTAGAAATATGGCACATAGTCTTAGAATTTGTACCTGACTAACTAGGGCCAAGGTGAGAAAGCAGACTGGCTAAACCAACCATCTGCTAGCCGCCTCAGGTCACAGAAGTCAGTTAATTCTCAGCACATAGAGACTCTTTCACCTAGATATCACACTATAGAGACTGTGTCTGTTCCCCGAACTAGCAAATACAAAAAACGTCCAAACAAATTTAAGGGTATTACAATTTAATATTTAATTAAAAAACAGATATAGGCTAATACAGATAAACAAATGATAAAGCTTGGCTTAATGAATATTAGATCCCATTCTACAAAAGTGCTTTTTGTAAATGAGATGATCACAGATCATAACCTAGATGTGCTCTTTTTGATAGAAACCTGGCTAAAACCAGATGATTACATTATTTTAAATGAGTCTACCCCCAAGATTACTGTTATAAACATGAGCTGTGTTCAAAAACTAAAGGGGGAGGTGTTGCTACAATTTATAGTAATATTTTCAGTAGCTATTTCTCAGAGGTCTGGTTTCAAGTATAATTAATTTCAAGTAATGGTGCTTTATATAACATTACCGCTACTGTATACATACCACCAGGGCACCATACAGACTTTATCAAAGAATTTGCTTATTTTCTATCTGAGTTAGTGCTGGCTGCAGATAAAGTCTTAATTGTTGGTGATTTTAATATCCATGTAGATAATGAAAAAGATGCATTGGGATCAGCATTTTATAGACATTCTAAACTCTATTGGGGTTAGATAACATGCGTCAGGACCTGCTGTCATAATCATACTTTAGATTTAATACTATTACATGGAATTGATATAGATGGAATTTAAATTCTGCAGCAGAGCGTTGATATCTCAGATCATTATCTAGTCTAGTGTATACTCCATATAGCTAAAGCTGCAAATTCAACTCTTGTTACAAATATGATAGAATTGTGTAAACTTGTCAAATAATCTAAACCGACAACATGTATGTAAGATCCTATACCATCTAAGCTACTAAAAGAGGTGCTTCCAGAGGTCATAGATCCTCTTCTGAATATCATTACTGCATGATTGTCATTAGGATATGTTCCAAAAACTTTCAAACTGGCTGTTATTAAGCCTTAAAATCCACAACTTGTTCCTGGAGAATTAGTTAATTACAGACCGATCTCAAATCTCCCTTTTCTGTCAAAGATACTAGAAAAGGTAGTCTCCTCACAACTATGTTCTTTCTTAGAGAAAAATGGTATCTGTGAGGATTTCCAGTCAGGATTTAGACCGTATCATGGTACAGAGACTGCTCTTATCACAGTTACAAATGACCTGCTCTTATCATCCAATCATGGTTGTATCTCTCTATTAGTGCTACTGAATCTTAGCACTGCGTTCAACACTATCGACAACAACATTTTTTGAATAGACTAGAAAATTACGCTGGCATTAGTGGAATTGCATTGGCATGGTTCAAATCTTACTTATCTGACAGTCATCAATTTGTAGCAGTGAATGAAGAAGTATCATAATGTTCACAAGTGCAGTATGGAGTACCACAAGGCTCAGTACTAGGACCATTGCTTTTCACACTTTACATGCTACCCTTGGGAGATAGCATCAGGAAACATGGTGTTAGCTTTCACTGTTATGCTGATGATACTCAGCTCTATATTTCTTCGCAGCCCGGCAAAACATACCAATTTGAAAAACTAGCGGAATGCATAGTCGATAT